ATAAGAATATTTTTTTTACTAAAACTTCTACTATCTAAACAAATGAAATAAACAAACTATATTACCAAAGGGCTAACATTAGCAGCATGTCTTTCAACAGGTTGTCCGTTTTTGTCAACAATGAATTTGGTGAAATTCCATTTAATAGAGCTGAAAGGTAAAAATAACAATTATTATAAAATTAAAATGTTTAAATAAATCTTAGCAATATAAGTTTACAAAACTTATATGGAATTATATTATATATTAATCATATAACAGTTAGAAAAATACTAAAAACTAAACTTTGTAAAGTGTTCTTTAATGAACAATACTTTTAAGTTATAAGAAAACATTAATATCTACCAAGTAGGTARATATAAATTAAAATATTTTATGGTATAATTATATTAACATTTTCATTTGAATAGTATTAATTATTAAGAAGAAAAACAGTTACTATATTTATAAGTAATAAATATTAAGAGGAAAAGAAATACAAGTGTTCTATAACTTAAAGAGGGTAATTCTATAAATAAGGTTTACCTATCTGGGAATTTTTTTAACTGATTTTCTTGCTTTACAATATACCCTAATAAATATAAAAKATGTCAATAAATGTTATGTATTTAAACATTTTTATTCTTAAACAAAATCCATTAAATTCCAGCCCCTAAGAATAACATAATATTATGTCAAACAATATTATTTATTAGCACTGTTTTAGATATAGATACTGRATACACTTCTATATTAAATTGCTAATAATACATGGACCTTTCTAATTTGTCACACAACAGGACTCCAGTATACCAAGATTGAAGTGAACACTAGCAGTAATACAAAAAACAGTCTTGAGACCTTGGTTGATTTTGTATCAAAAATTTCACATAAGGAACACTCGGTAGTCTTTTATTCTTATGCACTATTTTTAGAGGATCTATTTATTCTATATAATTGTGCAACCAGTTTAATATCTACAACTGTGGTTATTAGTAATATTATAATTTATACATGTTTTACTAAAWTTTTTGGAAATATCATACAATTGTATCCACATAGAATTATAAAATAATTAAAATAATATTAATAATTATACTGTATTATTATGCAAAATATAATACAACAAATGTGATATTTACAATATATAAATTAGAATATATTCTGAAAAAWAGGTTTTACAAAAACAAACATCAATTTATTATTATTTCATAAACCATGCATTAAAATAAACATAATATTCAAAACTTCATTGTCAATACATTAATATAAAATTACCATATTTACTTACTCAATCAATAAACCGCCCTGTTTTGATTTCAAATATTTCCACAATGGATGTGCATCATTGCCATTGACATCGACTTTTTCAAATATGTCAAATTTAACATTTTTTTTTGCAGTAAAGCTACAAATACTATCAGAATCACCAGGTTCCTATAAAATATTTTATTATATAAGCAATATGTTAAATAT